TAGGTCAATATCCCTGATGAACGCATATGTAAATATCCTCACCTAAAAACTAGCAAACCAAATTCAACGACACATTAAAAACACCATTCACTATTGGGACCAGCAGTTAGCGTAATGGCTATGTCGCTGGACTCCCACGTAGTAGACCACGGTTCGAGTCCCAGACCCGGTGGCTTAAACTCACACCGGGTACGTGTGTGTGTGTGTGCACCCAGGATCCCGAGAGGAGAATGGAGGAGAAGGGATTGCAGCGTGGCCATCCCCCCTGGGGGGTGATTTCTCACTTTCTGTCTCTCTGTCTCTCTCTGCAAAAACCTCTCAAAAAAAAAAAATCCATTCACTATGATCAAGCTGGACTCATCATAGGGATGCAAGGATGGTCTAACATATACAAATCAATAAGTGTGATGTATTGTATTAACAGAAAGGGGGACGAAAATCACAAGATCATTTTCACAGATACAGAAAAGCAATTTCACAACAATCAACATCCCTTTATAAATAAAACCCTCAACATTAGGTATATATGGTATGTACCTCAACATCCACTTCTATTCTACATAATACTGAAATCACAGAATCATAGGGTAGAAGATCAGTAAATAAAAATGTTTATTTTTATATGCTTGCAACAAATAACAGGAAAAATGAATTTTAGGAAATGTACGTTATAATATTATCAAAATAGTTAGAAATAGCAATAAATATATTAATAATATATGCAGCAATAATTCCTTAAGGGTAAATCAACATTTGTGTAAAATTTATTCATGAAACGTTATAAAACATTGCTGTTAAAAATTAAGATCAGGTGGGACCAGCAGTTAGTATAATGGCTATGTCACTGAACTCCCATGTAGTCACCTGCGGTTCGAGGCCCGGACCCGGTGGCTTAAACTCACACAGGGTGCGTGTGTGTGTGTGCCCAAGATCCCAAGGGGAAAATGGAGAAGGGACTGCGGCGTGGCCATCCCCCCTGGGGGGGTGATTTCTTGCTTTCTATCGCTCTGTCTTTCTGGAGTGCATGCGCCCTATAGCAAAAACCTCTAAAAAAATAAATAAATAAGATCAGGCCAGTTATGGTGCTGTAGCAGTAACATAATGCTCTGCAATACTGGGCCTGCAAGAGAAGGCCCCAAGTTTGCATCCTGAGGTCTCTTTGTGCATGCAGGGCACAGATGGGTAAGGATGTGCCCATGATCTGGGCTGGTTGAAACAGGGGAAAGATCACAGTGAGAAGACTGGGTTGATAATGCAACTTTCTCCTTCTGTCTCTCTTCTCTTGGACCACCACCACCCACCCTAAAAGAAATAAATGTATGAACTTAAAAAAAAATTAAAGATCTAAATAAGTGGAAATACCATGTTTCTGTATTAGAAGATTCAATTTTATTATGATAACAGTTCTCTAAAATCTGATCAATAATATTTCTTTTTTTTGGAGAGGTTTTTGCTACAGGGCATGTGTGTTCACCAGAAAGACAGAGAGAGACAGAGAGATACAAAATGAGAAATCACCCCTCCCCCCCAGGGGGGATGGCCATGCTACAATCCCTCCATTCTCTTCTCGGGATCTTGGGCACGCACGCACACGCGCCCAGTGTGAGTTTAAGCCACTGGGTACGGGACTCGAACCATGGTCGGCTACATGGGAGTTCAGCGATATAGCCATTACGCTAACTGCTGGTCCCTAATAATATTTCAATCAATATATCTTTTTTCTAGAAACTGGCAAGCAGAACCCAAAGTTTACACAGAAATATACAAAGTGTAGCCAAACTAATCTCAAATAAAAAACCTTGAAGCTTGAAAACTTACACACTGCTTGAATTCAATATATACTTATAAAAGCTACAATAACAAAGCATAGTGTTACTAGTGTAAAAATAAGCATTCAAATACTATTGAAGACGGAGCTCAGAAATAGGCCCACATATGTATGATCTCTCTTTTTTATAAAGGTATCAAGTAAACATTGGGGAAAGGACACTCTTTTTAGCGAATGATGGTGGGACAATTTTATGTCCCCTTGGACAATAGCACATAAACTTTGACCTACACCTCACACTACGCACAAAAGATAACCTTAAATGGATCACAGAACTAAATGTAAAAACCAAAAGTATAAGCTCATAGAAGAAAATATCAGAAAATTGAAAATTTCTTTTTTTTTTTTTTTGGAGAGGTTTTTGCTATAGGGCACGTGCGCTCACCAGACAGAGACAGAGAGACAGAAAGCAAGAAATCATCCCCCAGAGGAGTTGGCCATGACACAATCCCCTCTCCATTCTCCTCTCGGGATCTTGGGCATGCACACACACGTGCCCGGCATGAGTTTTAAGCCACTGGGTCCGGGACTCAAACCATGGTCGGTTACTTGGGAGTCCAGCAACATAGCCATTACGCTAACTACTGGGCCTGGATTTTTTTTTTTTTTTTTTTTTAAGAGAGAGATTTTTGCTATAGGGCACGTGTACTCTCCGGAGAGACAGAGAGACAGAAGGCAAGAAATCACTTCCCCAGGGGGATGGCCTTGCCACAATTTCCCCTCCTTTATTTTCCTCTTGGGATTTTGGGCACACACATACACATGCCCAGTGTGAGTTTTAAGTTGCCAGGTCCAGGACTTGAACCATGGTCGACAAAACCATTACACAATCTGCTGGTCCCAGGCAAAGATTTCTTAAGATAACAAAAATGAGTTCTACCTGGGAACAGCAGATAGAGTAATGGCTACGTTGCTGGACTCCCACGTAGTCAACTGCGGTTCAAGTCCTGGACCCAGTGGCTTAAACTTACGCCGGGGCACAACCAAGATTCCAAAAGGAGAATGGAGAAGGGATTGCAACGTGGCCATCCCACCTAGCGGGTGATTTCTCGCTTTCTGTCTTTCTGTCACTCTCTGTCTTTCTGGCAAGTACATACACCCTATAGCAAATACCTCTCAAAAAAAAAAAAAATGGGTTCCACTTGAGGAAAAAGAAAATAATAATAGCTTGTACTCTTTGATAGACACAGTTAAAAATACAAAAAGATAAGCTACAAAACTGTAGAAAATATGCTATACATATTTGACAAATAACTTGAGTCCAGATACATAAGAAACACTTACAACTAAATAATAATTTATAAAACCCAAATAATAAAACCAGTCAATAAGGTTTTGACAGAGAGGATTCATAAATGGCCAGTAAGCATATTAAAAGCTACTCAACAATATTAGTCATCAGGTAAATGCAAATAGAAATCACAGTACCACTACGTGCTCACTACAATGTCTAAAATGAAAGAAACTAATTGAGAACATAAAATGGTAAAAACACTAGTAAAAAAAAAAAAAAAAAAAAAAAATGGTAAAAACACTTAAAACGGTTAGAATTTTCTAATGAATGGGACCAGCATATGGCATAATGGTTATGTTGCCACACTCCCAAGTAGTGGACCTTGGTTCAAGTCCCGGACCTGGCAGCTTAAAACAGGACTGGTGCATATGTGTTCATACCCAAAATCCTGAGAGGAAATTGAGGGAGAAGGGACTGTGATGTGGCCATCCTCCCCAGGGGGTGAATTCTCACTTTCTGTCTGTCTCTGTGTCTCTGGTGAGCACACGTGCCCTATTACAAAAAATCTCTCAGAAAAAAAAAAAAAAGAATGAAGTTAAGGAAATTTACCAGCTACACAGCAATTCTGCTCTAGGTGCTTATCAACAGGAAAGAAAGCAAAGGTTTTATGTAAAATCTGGTGTATAAATGTCAAAGCAACTTTATTTGTAATAATCAAAAACTGGAAACAACTTATATTCTGTGATTCTTATATCTTGTGCATAGATATGTATATACACGTTATGGCATATACCATTCCTCTGTAACTCAGTGATTAAAAAAAAAAAAAAAAAAGGAGCAAACTACTGACACACAACAACATGGATGAAATTCCCAAAGACCAATACTAATCAAAAGCAGTCATACTCTGATCATTGCATTTATGATACGCTAGGAAGGGAAATTTTAACCTATAATGAAAGAAAGCAGACCAGTGATTGCCAGGGTTAGGTTAAGAAACTGACTGAAATAGGACAAAGAGAAATAATTCAGCACAACAGAAAAGTTGTAAGCCTTGACTGTGGTGGTGGTGGTTACAGAGCCAATACACTGGTCAAAACTCAAACTGCACACTCAAAATGCACACAGTTTATTGCATGTAAATGATGGCTTCATGAGAAATTTGTGTATACACTTTTTCATGACAAGAAACTGCAAGAAAAGGCATAATCTCATATTATTTTTAATATAACTCGATATATACCAGGGTTAACTACTTCTGCTGAGTTCATTACAGGTAAAATAGATTAACTTTGGCAAGTTTGACTAAGAAGCATTCAATAAGTAATAGCCAATGACTGCCCTCACTTTTTAATCACACACTTTATATGAGTACTGAGTAAAAGTAAAGAATTAAAGTTTAATATCATCACAGAATACAGCATCTAGAGGTCAAGTATATTGTTACATTTCAACTCTTTCTCTTAGAGACCAAAATGTTGCTCTCTCTCTTTATAACTAAAACTTAAAAAAAGAAAAAATACTGGGATGCTGGAAAAGTCATGATACATTTTTGCATTAAAAAAAAAAACAGAAAAATACACCATGACTTTTCAGACAACCTACCATTCAGGGAGGATGGTCATGCCACAATCCCTTTTCCTCTTGGGATTTTGAGTATACATGCACAAGCGCCTGGCGTGAGTTTCAAGCTTCTGAGTCCAGGACTTGAACTAAGGTCAGCAATGTGGGAACCCAGTGCCCCAACCACCATGTACCTATGGCCCCAGCATGCTATCTTCTGAAAGACTATAAAAATGTTAATTCCCTTCTCCTAAACCTTATTTATGTATGATTTCTTTTCCAATTAAGTCATCAGAAACCAGTATTTGGCAGTGTTTTCTATCACATTTTCCTTGCTATATACTTACTAAAATAGTAATAATAATAATTACTCACTTCAATTGTCTTGGCCAATAACTGTGTGTGAGGAAAATTATACTTGTATACTTCATTAGCAACAGTGTTTACATCAATGGCAGCCACCACTTGTGCAGGTATACAGCTTTCTGTAATGAAAAACAAAATATCTTTTTAAAGAAAGTCTTTACCATCAGTTTGTTCAATATACACAAAAGTTAAAATAATAGAATTTAGTATTACATTTCACTAGTTTCTCAGTTATCTAGCCAAATCACAGACTGCCAATAGCCAGGAGGAATTAGGTATAAAATGAAATACTCCAATATGTACTCCTGGTTCATTTCACTAACAACATCCCAGTGCTAAAAATAAAATTTAAATGTTGTAATCGTTAGCTCTTATCTTTGCTTTTTTGCCTCATTAAGATACAAGTTTATGAGTTGAATAGAATGTTTACCTAACCTAAAACAAACCAAAAACAGGAAACTGAAGTATATTCTTTTTTTTGTTTTAGAGGTTGCTATAGGGTACATGTGTTCGCCAGACAGAGACAGACAGAGATAGAAAGCAAGAAATCACCTCCAAGGAGGGGGATGGCCATGCCACAATCCTTTCTCCTCCATTCTCCTCTCGGGATCTTGGGCACGCATGCACACGCGCCCAGCGTGAGTTTAAGCCACCGGGTCCAGGACTAGAACTGCGGTCGACTACATGGGAGTTCAGTGACATAGCCATTATGCTAATTGCTGGTCCCCTGAAGTATATTCTTAAAAGTCCATATCATTTGAAATTTTACATAAATAAATTATCATTTGTTCCTCTCCTCACAATAACAGTTACTTCACAATACCACCGAAAATACTTTAAGGGGAGTTTTTTTTTAAAAAAAAACAACTTTATTGAAATACAACTCACATGACAACATTCACCCATTTAAAACTTATGTTTTTAAATGAAGTGAAATGTTAATTGGTGTCCAACTATAAAATAAATGCTCATAGACAAAAAAATAACAACTTTATGGAAATATAATTCACATACCAAAAAATTCACTACTTAAAGCTTAGATAAGTTTTTAAATGAGATGAACAATTAATTGGCTAAATTTAAAATGTTCAAAGACTGAATATTTAAATTTTTGGCCAAGCGGGAGAATACGAAAAGAGCAGGGAAATAATTATAAAGACACTTTCACTGACCTCTGTTTTACTGCTAACAAAAAGCATTTCCAAAATACTTTCAGATTGAGAAAATTATAACTTTTTTTTAAATTATTATTTGCTGCAAGTCACGTGGGCTTACAAGAAAAACGGGGAAAGAGAGAGAGAAAGAGAGAGAATGAGAAAGCACCCCCTAAGGGAGAGGATGGCCACGTAGTAAGCTCTTCCCCTCCATTCTCTTCTCAGGACACATGTCCACGTGCCCACACATGTTTTTCAAGCCACAGGACTTGAACCACAGAGTTGGCCATGTTGGATCCAGCTGCCTTAACCACTAAACCACTAGCTAGCCCTCTTACACATTTTTTAATGGTGGTCAAAATGTGAACTCTATACTTGTAGTTGCTGTAGTTTGCTCTATACTTGTAGTTGCTGATTATCACTCTCTTCCCTAAAATATAAAACCAATTATCAGGAGAAAACATAAAGATTTTTAAAAATAGAAGTGTTTGAGACTTAAGAAAACCATTATAGGGACCAGCAGTTAGCGTAATGGCTATGTCACTGAACTCCCACGTAGTCGACCATGGTTCGAGTCCCAGACCCAGTGGCTTAAACTCATGCCAGGTGCATATGTGTGCGTGCCCAAGATCCCGAGAGGAGAATGGAGGAGAAGGAATTGCGGTGTGACCATCCCCTCTAGGGGGTGATTTCTCGGTTTCTGTCTCTCTGTCTGTTTGGCGAGCGCACGTGCCCTATAGCAAATAAAAAAGAAAACCATCATAGAAAACATTTCAACATTAAACAGTAGCTCCAAGTACTATTTCTTTAGTAACCATTCACTGATTAATAGTTTGGTTCAGCCACGTGAGCTAGAATGTGCTCTATCGTGAAAAAAGAAAAAAAGAAAACTGCTTAGGTTGGGCCAACTAAGAGAGAGAGAGAGAGAGAGAGAAAGAGAGAAAGAAAGAAAGAAAGAAAGAGCGAGGGCTTATGCATCAGGCACCTGGAAATATAAAACGAGACATGGCAGACAGCGCAAGAAGCAGTCTCACAGCTCAGAAAACAATCAAAACATTACACTGTGGTCTAGGAAGATGAAGCCAGAGAAAACAAGGGCACAAACGTCTCCAAATATTTACTAAGTGCCTGCTTGGCTCCAGATGCTCAGCTAGGACCTGTTATCCCTCTGGTACCCTGATGAAAAGTGAGGCCTTCTGTGCCTTGTATTTAAGTCACTGGAGACCTGGAGACCTAGCTAGTAATACTATATAGATAGCTGCCTCTGCTTGAGTTTAAATTTGATAACTAGTTACTTGCCTTAGCACATAATACTAAAGGTTATAAATTATATCTTCTTCAAACCCATCAGAGAGATCTTGAGACATAAATCAAAATAGCTTCTAAACACCAAAATATTAGTTTAAAAGGTTCAATTTGCAAAATCACAAAACTTACCATTCCAGTCAGGAACTAAGCTACTACCAATCATTGTAAAAAAAAGTTTAGAATGAAAAAAACTTCATTGTACTATTTTGCTCTTGCTAAATATGTTGTAATCTGCATGAGGGAGCCTGTGTGCATTTCTACTGTGTATACAGCAAACTATTGCAGGATCACCCAGAGTTGGTTTATGTGACTTCTACTTTTCAGGCTGATGGAAAATCCACAGTGATGTGTGGAATCTGTACCAGAATCAATAATTAATTTCATGCTTTTGTATTATATGCCTGGAGGTCATGAAAACTGACAAAAAGCAATAGAAAATGAGTGTTTCATATGGAAATCCAAAAACTGATGAACTGAAACTCCTTTTCAGGGAAAGAATGAATTTTAGAAGCCAATAAGCAAATACACTATTTACATGGATTGATGCACATATTTTAGACTGGAGTTGGTGCACAGAATTTAGGAATTGGTGCATAGCATAAAAAGTTATATCCATGAAGAGAACTGGATATACAAAGACACTGCTGACACTAATTCAGCTAGTCTTTCAAAACAATTGTTTCTGAGAATGAATGTGTTTCTAAGGGAAAAAAAATTAAACTTACAAGTAACAATTTTAAAAAGAAGTTGAGGCACTGGATGTGTTTTCAGAATGGTTTTCGATCGGTTATTTGACTTGGATTTAACCCCTGATATTTAAATTCTATTGTGGATTTCGTATTTATCAACAGAAAGGGTAGATTAAAAGAAAAAGAGTGAGACATTCTAGTTGGAGAAATGTGATACACAATAAATTATTTTAAATGGATTGTCAGATTGGATTTATATAAAAAGGATCAGTCCAGTTTGAAATAGCTTTAAATTATTTCCCTTCTTTATCACTTATTTTCTGATCTGCTTCTCATATAGATGAGTAACCATCTGAATTACCTCATTATACTCACACCTGAAACATTTAATCAGGTATGTTAACACTGACATCTAGTTGTGAAATGGAAGATCAGTTGAATGTGTACAGTGTCTATTTCTTTTCATTCAGAGTGACATCTTAATTAGGAATAAAAATACAAAGCACAAACAAACCTGTATAGATTCTGAATTTAAAGTCATTGTCAAATGTTTTATCACTATTATTAGAAAAGCTTATTTCTCAGTTCTTTTTTAAAGTTCTTGCATTTTGGGACCAGCAGTTAGTGTAATGGCTATGTTACTGGACTCCCATGTAGTCGGCTGCGGTTCGAGTCCCAGACCCAGTGGCTTAAACTCACGCCAGGCGCATGTGTATGTGTGCCCAAGATCCCGAGAGGAGAATGGAGGAGAAGGGATTGTGGCATGGCCATCCCTCCATGGGGTGATTTCTTGCTTTCTGTCTCTCTGTCTCTGTATTTCTGATGAGCATGCACGCCCCATAGCAAAAACCTCTCAAAATAAATAAATAAATAAAGTTCTTGCATTTTAAAAATCTCCTAATAAATTCCTATGCATAAAATAAAAAAGATGTTTAAAAATATTTTCAGTCATTCAATATCCTTAGAAAGTCTCTTTAGAAGTTAAGCTAATAGTCAACCCCCCAAAAATTGCTTTGAGCCAAGGTATCTTTATTTTTTATAGTTTATTTTCTTATACATTCAGTCATTATATATCATTACCGCTTATCAAATTAATTTTCTAAGCATAAATACACTGTATATTAGTCCAGTTAAAGATATTATCATACTTGTTATCATCAACAAAAAATTTTCCATTTTTGTGTCCCTTAAACGTTTTGCTTCTTTCTTTTTCACCTTGAGCATACAAGAGATATCACCCAGACTACAGATAGGCACTTCTTGAGATCTGTAACTGATCATGCCCTCAGCACTGCATCTTAGGAGCATAAATGTGTATGTCACATTAAGAAGATTTAAAAACATCATATGATCATATAAATTGACACAGAAGAAGTATCTGACAAAGTACAACATCCCTTCATGCTGGTGTGTGTGCTTGCCCAAAATCCTGACAAGATAGAGAAATGGAGGAGGAAAGATTGTGGCATGATCAGGCCCCATTGGGTGGTGAGTCCCCCTTCTCCCCCTCCCCACCCCCCCAGTGAGCACACATCCTTTCTGGCAATTAAAAAAAGAAAGAAATAGAGAGAGTAATGGTAGATACCAGAAGCTACCTTGCAGAAAAGAGTGAGGAACAAGGTGTTTGTGCAGAGTGGCAGGTTCATGAGAAAAATTTTAATGGACACAAGAAAACATGAAAATAAGAGGAAAAAGCTATGGGAAAGTATAAAATGCAGAGTAAAGGGCCAGTCCAAGATGTGGTGGTTAGGGTAGCTCGATCCCACATGGCCGGCTTCATGGTTTGAGTCCTAGTCCAGCAGCTTGAAAAACACCCTGGGTACCTGTGCATGCCCAATGCATGCATGCCCAAAACCCTGAAAGGAGAAATGGAGAAGGGACTGCAGCATGGCCATCTACCATGGGGATTGATATCTCATTCTTTCCTGATCTCTCTGGTAAGCACAAGTCCCCTCAAGTAAAAATTAA